TTATTACTTTCTCTTTTAAAAATTGATTGATAGCTTTCTTGCAACACACAAAAACCTCCTTGGTTAGTCACTACTTGTTTCATGAAAATCTTACACCATAAAACAAATTATGTGGAATTATATAAAATTAAAAAAAAAGAGAGAAAAAAATTGATGATACATCAAATTATTCCGTTTTAATATATAAATATAGATTCTGATCATTAATGACAATAAAATTGGACTTAAGGCAAAATATTAACGGAGAAGTACGGACAGGCCCATTGCAGAATTCTGATTTCCACTGCAGATCTACAACATTTCGAAAGATTAATTACCCCCACCCTATGCATCAATGCCCACTCGTGAATTGACATCAATTCCAAGCTAAAATCTACCCCAACTGTACTTGAAGCCTATGAATTCTGACCCTGGGCTGAACCTTCATTCTCCCAAATAGTAAAGCTTAATAATTATAAATACATTTAAAATAATATAGAATATAAAATTTTACACTCTAGATGTTTGTATTTTGTACTCCTTCCAAATGGAGCCTAAATGATCAAATTTGGACCAAGGTATCCCACTGCAACCAGAGGCTCCAGGCAAAATATTTGATCTGAAACCCGGATGGTTGGACTCGACCATGATTGAAACCTGGTTGGTTGATTGAACCAAAACCAACCCAAGTTTACAAATTTACAACCTTTTCTCATAGTGCGCGACTCACGAGAGAAAGCCCATACTATACGCCCCCACATGCACATCCAATTGTGTATTGGGAATATCTCCCATAATTGTTCACATGCACATCCAACCATATATTAGTATATTAGGAATTTCTCCCGTACTTGCCCATAGGGAGATGTGTGCATGGTCAGATGAGCGTGTGGTGTGGTGCGGTGCACCGGTAGGGAAGTCCTGCGAATTCACGGATCAGCTAAGCACTCTGTGTAGAGAAGATCCCCACCCAGGGTTCTCATCCGCCCCCCACAACTTTGCCACCCAAAAACGTCCCACGGGCTGTGAGCATGCCGCGTGTCCTCCCACACGCGGATTAGAAAGACTTGTGCGGAGCTAACCTCTCACCCAAAAAGTCATCCATCTCACTCCTCTCTCTCAAATTTTAGATCACTTCAACCAAATTTCAACTCACTTTAACCATCAACCTTATGCTTTCAGAACTGAAACCGGCCGGAGATTGTCCCCCTTTGAATTCCGCCCATCGACGCTGACAGCCGCTTCGGATTATTTATTTAACGGAGGTAAGTATCCCTTAGTTCTCAAATAAGTTTTTTCTCATTTCCTATTGATGTAGGGGGATTTGGCTCGACTTAATAATAGGGGGACACGTGGACATGATCTAACTGATAGGACGACAGCTCATCCTGATGTCCCCAAGTCTGCGACAAGCCGAGCTCGGATAACCGAACCACCTTGGGGCAAGTCCACCTCGGAAGCAAGTCCACTTAGGGACAAGTTCACTTCAGTTATAAGACACCTCGGCATTCGTACCAAGACGGACCCAAGGGGCACTAGTTCGGGACAAGTTCACTTCGGTTAGAAGATACCGCCACCAGATTCCACGCTTTACGGGATCACACCTCGTAACTGCCAGCCTTATCTCCCCCATCCAAATCGGGCGGAAGCGATAAGCCTTATCGGCTAGTAGCGTTATCTCCTGCTAATACGGATACGGGCCTCATCACGACAAGAATCCCGGAATCACTGAAAAACCCGCGAGGACTCCAGTATATAAAAACTCCAACCCTTCGGGGGAAAAGGTATGTGTAATCACTGCTTACTAGCTATCTTGCTTTCTAAACTATCTTCAACTTGCACATTACTAACTTAAGCATCGGAGTGACCTCGCCGGGTAAGCACCCCCGGGTTCTCTGATTCTCTCTGTGAAGATTAACCAGCTCCGTCGTCTACTGAAGCCAAATCATCTCTAGCTAGGAGCAGCCAGATTGTGTCGCATCATTTGGCGTTGTCTGTGGGAATCGCTTCAAAAAGCGTTTTTTCCACCAAGCATCCTAAATTCAACTTCCATGGCATCTTCCAATAATGCCGGGCAAAACGCCGACATGAACACCTCCGGGGGGCAACTTCAGGTCCCAACAGTGTGCATCGAACAGTTCACTGTACCTCTCTCTGCGGACGGGGTCCCCACTCTGAACGTGCCTCTAGTCATTGCACCGGTGAATGCCCCACTCCCTCTCACGGTGGGTGCAACCTTCACCAAACCTTCTGTCATTCCCCCGGCGGTCGGACAGAGTCAACTTGACGACCTGGTACACTACACGCGGGCCATGCAAGCCCAAATGCAACAGGTCCAGTAGTTTCAACTGTACCAGCAACAAGTCCTGCACCATGTTTACCAGCAACAGTACCAACAGCAGTTCCCCCCGCTGCCTCAGAATCAGCAGCCGGTTCCACCTCGGCATCCGGCCACACAACAAACCAAGCCTCGCCGTTAGAGCAAGCGCCCTCCTCGCCGGGGAGAGACCTCCCAAATCCAGAACCCTCTTGGGAGCTAGGTCTCGTCCCACGGTAGGAGGGAGAGACAAGCTACTCCTTCCGCCTCACAACAAGTGAATAGGTCGGGGGACACCCAGCCCACCAAAGCCGCTTCACCTCGGCCTTCGCAGTTCGAGGTTCCACTTGCAGAAAATCGGTTTGGGATCCTGGTCGTGGACTCTAGACAAGGCCCCTCGGTCCACAGTAGTCGCCGCCAGCAATCCGAACAACTCCCAGCCAGAACCATGCCTGACAATGCAGAAGCTAGTAGCACTAATGCGAAGCCAGTGAAGAAGCAACAGAAGCGGTGTCGCAAGGCTCGCCGAGCTACAGTCCAAAGTCAGCCCGAAAATAGCCCAAAGGCAAAGAAGAGGCGAGCTTGGGAACAATGAAGACCACCCCGCTCCTTTCCGTGTCGTCTCCTTTATCCCCCAAGCTCCTGGTTGTCCCAATGCCCAAAGATTTTAAGGTACCTCCCCTGGACAAGTACGACGGGTCGTTCGACCCGAATGACAACGTAGATTCATTTCAATCACAGATGCACCTAGTCGGGGCTGATGAACCCTGCATGTGCGTTGCTTTCTCCACAACCTCTAAAGGAGTAGCTCACACATGGTATAGAAACCTCGCACCCGGGACAATTAAGAGTTGGGCGTAGTTCGTGTAGATCTTCACCTCGCACTTCATCACTAGCAAGAGGTGCCCGAGGTCCCAAGAAAGCCTCCTCGGCATAGTGTAGAGGGAGGAAGAATCAATCCGGAGCTACATCAAGCGTTTTAACGGTGCATGCTTGTAGATCCCCGACTTGGATCCTGCTATGAGACTCACAGCCGCAAAAAGAGGCATCACCCACAAAGAGTTCAAGTGACACATGGTTGCAAACAAGCCCAAAGATGTTACTGAGTTTCTCAAGCTCATTGACCAATTCATCAGAAAAGAAGAAGAGATGAACCAGAAAAGCAAGAATCCACCAGAGAAGAGGAAGAGAGAAGGTGAAGCCTCAACCGACGGGGATAATAAGCAGAAGAAGGATGAACCAGCTAGAGGAGGAAGTAAACCAGATCAGCCTTTCCGAACTCCTCCAGTTGCAAGGACAAACTACACGCCCTTGAACGCGAAGCGAGCAGAGATCCTTATGGCGATCAAGGACGCTTCTTATGTGAAGTGGCCACCTCGGATGAGAGGGGATCCAAATACCAGGAACAGGAATGTATACTGCCACTTCCACAGAGACCATGATCATAACACCGAGAATTGTAAAAATCTCCGCGACGAGATCGAAGAACTCACCCGTCGCGGATATCTCAAGAACTTTGTATTAAAAGAAAATAAAAACCAAACAAATCGGCAGGGGGAGCAAGGTAGAGATGCTCCCGAATCCAGCAACAGGCAAAGCGAGCAGCCACAGAGATAGCTACCCGAAGAAAGACTGGTTCGAGGGATAATTCACATGATCACCAGCAGATCGATTGTCGCAGACTGCACATCAACTGCAGCAAAGACGTCAACTTGTGAATTAGAGAGAGAAGAGCAAAACCCCCCGAAGCGGCCAAGGTTAGAAGAACCCCTATTTTTCACCGAAGATGACATGCACGGAATCCAATACCCCCACGATAACGTGCTCGTCATAAAAATAAGAATCAATGATTTCGAAATGAAGCACGTCCTGATCGACTCAGGCAACTCGACAAATATATTGTTCAATGGCGCATTCAACAAGTTGCATTTCCCAGAAAGCGACATCAAGCCCGTGAATACTCCCTTAATAGGCTTCAGCGAGAGAAAGTCAGCAATGTTCAAAGGATAGAATTACTATTAGCTTTCCATAAAAAAGGCTCCGCCACTAAATGACGATTTAGGTCATTGAAACTTTTCAGCAAAGTGTCTAGAGTCGATAAATGAGAGAGAACATGCATAGAGATGGTTCTCCCTTATTGACAGTGATGAGGAGACAATGTTGATTTGTTTTCATGGTTTCGTATTACTAAAAGAGCTTAGGCCGCACTTGGAAGTGTTTCTCCAAGGGGGATTTTATGCTTTTCAAATTGGAGAAGCCAAGAGTCGGTTAAAAATTGTTTGGTAAAAAAGCTCAAAATGGGCTTTTTGAATCAAGAAAAAACAGCCCGTGTGAAAAAGTACGGGAAAAAATACCTCCATTCAGTTTTATATGATTGCAAGAAACGATTTTAGCAACAAAACTACTAACCAAACACAAAAAATGTTTTTCAGAAAAAAAAATTATGTATAGAAAGTCTGGCGCAGGCAGGATTTTGCCTTATTGGAACGGTGGATTCACTTATTGGAAGAGTAGCTATTCAAGCTCGACTTGCCAAGAAAATATGAAGCTTAAATTCAAGCTCAAACTCGGTTCAAGCCAGAGACTTGAGTTCGAATTCAGGTCAATTCAATTAACAAACAAGCCTGTAAATTAGGTTCAAGTTCGCTCTTCACCAAAATATGAAAAAAAAAAAGAAAGAATTCAATGGCGGCTAAGACAAATAGAGAGAACCCAAAACGTCTGATACCCATCCGCACAACATTCTCAGTTTCACCATAATACCTCGATAGCCCACAAATCATGGCTAACAAAAACAGCAAGAGAATGAACGTATCCGAAACAAACTAACGCCTAGTCGACACTTCTCTTAAAAGAAACTCTTAAAGAAACAGGTTTGTACTAAAATCGTTAATAAGAGTAACTGAAACTCAGACAGACAGACAGAGACAGATCTAATATGATAATCGACAATAATGATAAGATATGATAATATTAGATCTCACTGAAATATGTCCAAGATCTTAGCTAGAAAAAAACTAAGAGGCTAGAGAATCTGATCCACTGAGACCAGAAAGGCAAAACTAGTACTTCTTTAAGGGGGGGAAAGACGAAAAAAGAGGAAAAAACTAATATTATATCCTAACAAAAATCAAGCCTTGACAGCTCCCCCCAAAAGAGGAAACTGACCAGGGTCCTCGATGCAAGGTGCAGGAGCAGCGCTGCTACCTGGCTGCCCCGAAAATCCTCCCCTGAATCCACCACGCTCCCCACGTCCACGACCTCGTCCACCACGTCCTCCTCGTGCATACCTCTCACCCTCCGCCGGCTTCAGGAATTCGTTTATGCTCAGCGACTGCAAAACAGAACAAGATAATACAATGCAAAGTAAAGCCTTCTTCATTTCTTTTCATCTCTTTTTCCCTGTTTGACAGTCACCAATATAAAATACAAGCAACCCTTCAATCTCGTAAGATATAATTTTAGAGACAGAAGATTAAGGTTGCAAGAAAATGTTCACTCATACCGTCTTCAGTAAAGTGGTGTGTAGTTTACTGTTTAGCAAAACTGGATATGCCCTAATATTTATTACCAACACTATATAACCTGGCGGATTAGCTGGAGACAAAAACACCCGGCTGAATTACTTATCACGGTTGGACACGACAGTATTTAATACAGCTGGGTTTCAGATGGGGCTTCAACTGTGATAGGTAGTTCAGCCGGGTGTGTATGTTTTTGTCTCCAGCTCTTCCGGACTGCTTTTAACAACTACATAAACGCTCAAGAGGAAGATCAAACGCAAGTATAAACAAACTCACTGAATACGTGGTAAAGAAGACTGATAAGTGATCAATGGCATCTGCGAAATAGCAAATGTTCTACACAATGTTTTTTTTTTTTTTTGATAGATAAATGTCCTACAAAATGTTGTAGCCACAGAGGAGTTGAGTTGTAAATAGGAACCTGCCCTTCAAAGTTAACCATCAGGAGGTGGTATATTTTGTTTTTGGGGCAACCTTGGGGAGTTTAATTTATTGTACTTCTCCATTTATTATTTTTATGATATTCTAAATAAATTGAACATAAGTGTAAAAAAACAAGATTCTAGTGAATATAGTCATCCTTTTACAAACTATCTGTGTATATTTGCACTGAAATAAAAGCACATTTCACCATTTTGAGAACATGAACACCTAAAGAAAGCTCTAATACTCCATAAAAACACTGGATGTAAGAATATCTAACCCTAAGAACCGGATGTGGTAAAAATAGGTACTATTTTAAAAGAAACTTGGATAATATCCACTGTAACACTGCTCCAGAAATCTAACTCAACAACTGCACATACTATATCTGATTTTGGTTCTTGACAGTACACATTAATTAAGCCCTTTTAAGGAGTCAGGGTTGGGGGGGAAACAACAACCTCAGCTGTTACTCGTATATGTTCACCACTATCCATAAATGGCACAAAAATAGAAGCATATTAATTAAGCATTCTTTAACTTTTCTTCGGGAAATGCTAAAAGGAGTATATGCTTTTTAACCAATAACTGTGAATTTCATTTATGAAGAATTATAAACTTGAGTAAAGAGAGATAAAACCAATTACTTCTCCCCCCAAAATAAAACTCTACCTTTTCCTTACAATTGAGCCCGGAAGAGTATATCCATAATCCATCCCCACCCCTTGTTTGGCAAGGCATCAGCTAAAGAACTAGCACCTTCTTTTGACCCAATAGAGTATCACTTCCACACTACTTAATTGTTCAAACCAGGGGGAGGGGGTTAATCAACTGCTAAAAACTAGAATTTATTCATTATTTTTCATAAACAGTTTTGTGAAATCGTGTCATCACTGCTGCTCTCAGCTTATTTTTAATTATGGTTCTGTAGTAACACCCATGAATAAGCATGCTGATCAAAAAACAACTATGAAACAAGCTATTGGTTTATTAACTAGCCTACCAAGTATGAAATGCATTCAGATAACACATTAAATATGATTTGCAAGGAGTAAGTGCAAATAATGAGGCAGACAAAAAATGAGGAAACATGAACAAGATGCCAGGAATCTAAAAACAGGCACAGAAAAGGCATATTGGAAATCATATGGCAAAGGAAGCATAAAACTTTGCCATGTACATAAAACACTTTCGAAACACAAATCTTCACATAACCAAGAAAGGTAAACAATAAATTATACAAAGAAGCACATCAGTTTGAGAATTCATGCCAGAAATCAATAAAATAAGTAAACATCAACTACCTTACGAACTTTCTCCTCCTTGTCAAGGCTATCCTTCTTCTTAAGTTTGTCCTTCTCAGCTTTCTGAAAAGTACAAGAGAAAAGCACCTTAAACATTCATGGACATTGTAAATTTGCAATATAAATAACAAACGGTGTAGTCAATGTATTGCCTAGGCATACTGAGACCAACTAGGTATCAAATTAATTTGGAGGCATATTTGCCTAGACAACAAAGATGGTACAAATATGAACATCCAAATGCCATAATCCCCTCTTATATATCATGGTTCTCTTCAAATGTTAAATGCCCTTGGTATTAGGATATCTGATTCGAAAGGCTAAGCTATTAAGGGCTAGTATGAACCTCACAATACACCAGATAGTTGGTACAAACATTGGACAATGGCCTTTTATGAACTTCTTGTTCAAATCAATCCCTAGGGTTGATTTCTAACAGTGTGGCAGGAGCTTTACCTCAAGTTGGGACAGCAAAAGATGTTTTAATAGGGATTGCATTGTAAATGCATTTTGGTTTGGTTTTTTAGTTCAAGAATGTGGTGACAGCCATTGGCTGAGTTGCATATTGCTACCCTGTGCAATGCATCGTTACAGGAAATCCCTTTTGACATTTCTAAATGGGTCAAGCCCATCCAATTCCAATCCAAGAATTATTAATAAAAGTTAATACCTTTTTTATATTTCTTTTAATTTGAATTAATTTAAATTGTTTTAAATCTTTATTAAAAATATTATTTTTATTAGTTACTTTTTGTAAATTTTTATTGTTTTCAAAATAGAATTCAAAATAATAAAAAATAATTTTGAAAATGATAATAATAAGAATAATAATATAAAATTTCGCTATTGTGTTTAAACTTTAAACTAGGTTGAAAGAACCATTTTGGTTAAAGCACATAAAGGCCAAACTAATTATCGATGTTCAGAAAACCGGACCAGGTATAGAACCGGAGAAGGGAGAGGTTCACAGGTCAAACCAGAGGTTGAACCATAATGGAGTGGCAATATAGATATGTATACCACGGGTCATGTAAATACTATATATAATATATTTTACACCTTTTAATCTACTTAAATATAATGGATTGATGGTAAACTTCTTAATTTTTAAAATAAATGACTAGGATTCAAACCTTTTAACTTACATTTTCTTTAAAATATATGAATAATAATGTAATATGTAAAATAAATAGTCATTAATTAGCATAGGTAAAGAAGTGGATTAGTGGTAATTAAGTAATTTGTGAAAATAAGAAACCTTGAGTTCAAATCTTGTTAACAACATTTTAAAATTTCACTTATATATGGACCCGGGTGGGTTCATGAAACCGAGACAGATTCAATGGTTTTCTGGTTCAACCAGCCGATCAGCCAGTTTTCAGCTGATTTTTAGCAAGTCTGGTTAGTGGGATATGGCCAAACTGGTTAGGGCGCCAGGTCACGTTCAACCAGCCAGTCCAGTTTTCTAGAAACTGCTAATTATGAGTTACAAATTTGGTACTGTAGCAAATACAGTATTAAGTGCTGGCAACATTGTATTTTACAAGGATCGTAAAATGGGTAAGGAATGTCTGATTACTTCATCTTCTTTGCCCAAATGTACAACCGAATTCTATCCAACCAAAAACTTGCAATCATCTAAGTTGATAGGAAAATGGCTAGTAATTTTTTCATGGTGCCAACTCTAAGACACTCCTAATTATAGATATACCCACGTGTGAATTGGCATTCTTCCCACTTTATGAACTCAGCACCCTTGAAGTGGGACGCCAAAGTTTTCCCT